GCATCCGCGGGCTGTCCAAAAAACGTGGACAATCCGAAACAGAAACGCTTGTAGATATGCAAAGATCTGCATAACTCCGACCGTATCTCTTTCGGACGGGAGACGCCTAACTGGGATCAGCGACCTAAGACCATGATACGGATAGAGGGGTTATACCTAGGGTGCCGGTGAGGTCAGGCTAGCGGGGCTATGGCGAGTCGGTCTGATGGCCCCTTGACCTTGATGCTGAAGCAGAACCACTTCGCAACGCTGATGAAGACAATCGGGGTCACCGAGGTCCCTCCGCCGGGGCCTCCTCCTGCATAAAAAGGCAATACATTAGTGACAATTGAAAATTTTAGCAGAACCTCCCCTGCACGGGGAGGTTTCAAAAACCTGTAAAAAAGATTGGCACGAAGGCCAACATCCACAAACAACGGCTCGATGGCCGAAAACCACATACAACAACTATTACTACTAACAAGGGCTCGATGGCCGACATCCATTGTACGATTTGAATAAAAAAGGAAGGGTGAACCTAGTGTGCTCGTCGACGGTGGGCGAAGTCGGGAGCGGGGCGCCGAGGGCACGGCACCACCGCTAACGAGGCGTGGACAGCGGCCGGGGCTCCTCCTCCCTTCTTCCTCCTCCCTTCTCCTCTCCACCTCCCTTCTCCTTCCTCCTCCCTTCTCCTCTCCTCCCTCCCTTCTTCCTTCTTCCTTCTTCCTCCTCCCTTCTCCCTTCTTCCTCCTCTTCTCCCTTCCCTTCTCTCCTCCAACCCTGCTCCTCCTACCTCCCCCTGCTCCTCTGGTGGCGGCCAGGGAAGGGACGATAGGTTTCTGACACATGACACGGCCATTGGGAAATGGCCGGGTGGCACAACCTAGCCACCTCTGGGCGTACGAGGCGAGGGGGGGCAGTCAGGGGAGCTGCTTAGGCAGGCAGCGCGTCCGGCAGCAACGGGGGTGGTGCGATCGGCGACAGGCGCGCATCATGAGCGAGGCAGGCGGAGGGGCCTTGCGCGAGGCCGGGGCTTGGCTGGCAAGCAACAATTCACCGGCCAGAGGCCTGTGGCAAAGGGCGGGGTGGGCGCGGGAGAGCGGCGTGGTGGGGCGTGAGGTTGGGCATGTGGGGGTTGGGGTGGGCTTTTAGGGCATTTTTTTGAAAATCAACTTTGCCGAGTGCCCCAGGGCCGGCACTCGGCAAATTTTTTTATTTTTAAAAACTTATTTTGCCGAGTGCCAGCCCCAGGCACTCGGCAATTTTTTAAAAAAAACATATTTTGCCGAGTATGAGCCTTGGGCACTCGGCAATTTTTTTTTAATTTTTTAAAACTAATTTTGCCGAGTGCCAGCGCTCAGGCACTCGGCAATTTTTTTTATTTTTGAAAATCAACTTTGCCGAGTGCCCCCAATGGCACTCGGCAAAATATTTTTTTTTTATTTTGGGCCCAAATTTTTTTCTAGGGCCTTGTGACGGTATTTCAAACTCTATTTTAAAATTTGGGACAATTTTGACTTTTTTGATATATTTTATTAGTTTATTTCGTTTTGTCGAATTTTTCGGGATATTTCAAATTTGAACTGCAGGTACATGGAATAATGGACTTTGGTCATCCAAAAATTGATACTCATGATATTTAGGGTATGTTTAGGCCGTATCCAGGAACTCACATGAATCTCGAGCATCTCGTCGACGTAACATGTCAAGGTACTTGCCAAAAATGTGATTTTAAATTATATAAAATGCAAACGAAGTCCGAAAATCACGAAACTTGTCGAGGCGTCGTGTTATCGCATGTGGAGGTTGTGGTAAAAATTTGAGAAGGTTTCGAGCAAGTTGTGACGTCGGATGCCAAAAACCCAGACATCTCAACTTGCTCGACATCACAACTTGCTCGAAACATGTCGAGGTACTTGTCAGAAACATGTCGAGGTACTTTTCGGCAAGTATCTCGACATGTTACGTCAACGAGATGCTCGAGATTTCATGTGAGTTCCTGGATACGGCCTAAACATACCCTCAATATCATGAGTATCAATTTTTGGATGACCAAAGTCCATTATTCCATATACCTGCAGTTCAAATTTGAAATATCCCGAAAAATTCGACGAAACGAAATAAACTAATGAAATATATCAAAAAAGTCAAAATTGCCCCAAATTTTAAAATAGAGTTTGAAATCATCACACAAGGCCCCGTAAAAAATTTGGGCGCAAAAAAATAAAAAATTTTGCTTAGAAGTGCCATGGGGGGGCACTTGGCAAAGTGGGCTTTACTTGAAGTCTTGCCGGCCGGGGCACTTTCGGCAAAGTTGATTTTCAAAAATAAAAAAAAATTTGCCGAGTGCCTGGGCGCTGGCACTCGGCAAAATAAGTTTTAAAAAATTAAAACAAAAATTGCCGAGTGCCCAAGGCTTACACTTGGCAAAATATGTTTTTAAAAAATAAAAAAAAATTGCCGAGTGCTTGGGGCTGGCACTCGGCAAAATAAGTTTTTAAAAATAAAAAAATTGTTTGCCAAGTGCCAGCCGTTAGGCACTTTGCAAAATCTGACGGCAGGTGGCCGCCGTCACGGGCCGGCCACCTTTTGCCGAGTGGGATCTTTGCCGAGTGCCGCGGCACTCGGCAAAGCCCAGTTTTGCCGAGAGCCAGGATTTACCGAGTGCCTGGCACTCGACAAAGCCACCTTTGCCGAGTGCTTTATTTTGCCGAGAGCGGCACTCGGCAAAATATTGCTTTGCCGAGTGCCCCGATAAAAAGCACTCGGCAAAGTCTCAGACACTCGGCAAAGTCCAGTTTTCCAGTGGTGCGCACGCATATATAAAGTTCTGTTATAGTCGAAATTACACTAATATACTCCTAGCAACTGTAAAGGAGAAAAAAATAGAAAAAGAGATGGCTGCCATAGCGCCTTGAAGACTTGAGGGTACTCATAAAACAGTAATTTTGAGTGCTTTTGTTATTTGCCTTTCATCTGTGCGTGGGATGCCTTAGTTCTCTTCAAATCTATCATGTGTTTTAAGTATGGTTATTATATTTTGAAATTCGTTGCTTGTGGCATAAAGGAAATAAAGGAGTTTATCTGAATCACCTCTTGATCATCGTTTGAAGTCTTCCCTATTTACCTGCGAATAAAAAGCTTTGTTGACCACGCTATCAGGAAGCTTGCTATATGAGAATGTTTTTTGTGGAGCATTAGAGCTTACCGTGTTTAGGTGCTGGATATTTTTTTAAGACATTGCAGGTAGTGAAGGTGTTGCCACGCTTTGTTTAATGAGAGAGTGTATCCAAGCTTGGCTCTGTCAATACTAATCTTCCTTGTGTACGTAATTTTCCTACGTAGATGTGACTTTAGAGTACCCTGCATACATTAATTATCAAATACCATCAGTTTATTGAATACGAAAGTATAAATATGGAAGGAAATTAAATTCTTATCAATTTTTAAAGGTCAACAACTTTATGAATTTTATTTGTCTTTATACCAGATACATGGAGCATAGCTAAAGACAACGAAATTGACTGTGTGACATCAAAGGATGGCAGGGAGGGAAAGCACTACTTAACAGTCAAGGGATGATCCATTAGTACATTTGTCAGTTAATATGTAATAATGGTAGCAGTGAAACCTATTGGGTACATTGCCAGAAATACTTTAGCGCGGTGTGTATTGTTTGCATAATGAAGAAACATTGACAGAAAAATATGCAGTTATGGGTAAATGTGGTGTATATCCATGTTTAGCATTAATTGATTAACCTATAGGAATGGCAAAAGAAAGTGAGCATCGCAGTCGCTGCTTCCAGAAATTGTTGGATTGCTACTAGCTTCCTCAAATGGGATAGGAACATGGGGTGGCCTCAGTTTGCCATTTAATAAGGAGGCAAAATGTTCATTGCAATCTGCTCTTTCTTAAAACTCTGAATTCGAATACCTAGACACAGAAAACCATACGTTATTATGTCAAGATTTTAGGAGAACATGTAACTGTGAAATTAACACCAATTTGTCTGTATATCAGCAACCTTTTTATTTTCGGTGGTAGAGTCCAAAGGGAGAGACTGCAAAACTTAAGTGAGAATATCCCTGGTGGTCGACAATCAGTCAGCAGATCTATCTGTTTCTTAACGTGGAAGTGGCTTCATTCTAAATTCTGTGTTGCCCCATAAAGTCTTCTGAAGGAACCAAAGGAGTTATATTACCTCTTGTTTGTCAATCCATTTGACCTGAAGGTGAAACAAAAAATATGTATGAAGGCTGGGTAACAAAATAGAAGAAACACACAAATTTGTATTGTAAATTTAAATAACAACTTTTACAAACTATAAATTTGATTAGGATGTATAAGAAAGAATGTAATTCTACTGTCAAGTAAGGATTGTCTCTGGCAGATAAATATAACTTTGTGTTTCAAATGCCTATATGTCACCATGATATTGCTTCAGCTACACTATAATCAAATGTTTGCTGTTTTCAAATTAAGCCAGTGGGTATCTCGTAGCTGCAACAGACAGCGCACCTATGTTAATACAAAATTTTACCCTTAAAACGATGAATAGGAAACTAAAACTAAAAGTATCTTATAGAGCTAATTTTGCCAGACATTTTTCCAATTGTCATTACATTTTTGTATCTTACTATCGGGCAATTTGGGTTAGTTGTGCATTATCTTAAAGATTGGTTGTGCTGTATGTAAGCAAGAAAGCAGTTGTACTGTATACTAAATTGCTCATATGTGACCATAATAGGTATTGCTTTAGGTGTATGACAATCAAATACTCGTTCTGAAATTAAGCCTACAGCTATCTCACAACTATTTCATATCATCACGGGACAGGCCAAGCTTCAGTAAATTAGTAATTTTAGAACTGGGAAATCATGACCAATATGCAAGTATCCAGACCTACATTTTTCCAACTGCTAAAAAAATGAAAAGCCATATCTATTGCTGAAACAACCTTGTACCCAGAGGTACCTTTTCTGTTGCACAAACGTAGTGAGGAAAATCTTTGACAATGCTCATAGCTCAGGTTGCTTTCCTTCCTTGTTGAGGAACTCCAATTGAGCGATCAGTAGCTTTGCCTGCAATAATGTTATAAATTTGTAATCAAGCATATATCTTATAGAATAAGCACAAACTGAGCACTACTATGATTTTTATCATTTATATATACAGCGGATAAGATTGAACTGATTTTTAGAAGCAATACTTATATGAGCAATGTTAATAATACGGAGTATCTATTGCGTTCTTAATTACACACGAGTTGAGGTGTGGAGCCTTACATTGTCATTCTCCGACAGCTTGGTGCTGTTGTTAAATTTGAAGCCTGATGACGAACAGATGGTCTGCATCCAGTGGTGGCAGGCTGGTGCAGGATTTGGAGTGCGCACTGGTGGGTAGGAGAGGACGCGAGGTCTTTGGCGACGGCCTGGGAATGGCCCGGCGTGGTCTGCACTGGCGGCACTCGCGCCGGCGGCGGTGGGGATTGGTTGGAGATCAGGGGAGCTCCTTAGCGACACGGGACGTGGAGGGCCGAGGAGAGCAAGCGCAGGTGGCTGTAGGGGAAGCGGGAGGCGCCAGCGGAGATGTGGAGGCAGAGGCCAACTGGCCGAGGGACAGGTCCGATACGCCATCCGGCGCGTCCGCGTCGAGGAAGAGGAAGGCGCCCTGCTAGGCGCGCAGGCAGGGTCCTCGAGGAAGAGGAGGAGCTGATGGCCTCCTCGGTGCAGGGCGGCGCCGCTGGCGTGGACTGGGTGGTGGTGTGCGTTCGGAGGGCGGCGGCCGGCGGCAGGGGCCTCGGGGGCACAGGGAAGAGAAGGATTGGAAAGAAATTGGAAAAGGACTGTGTTGGAAAGATTTGTGATTGAAATTTTTTCGAATGATCTAGACAGAAACATCTCCATGAGCCGATCCGACGGTTTGCGATTCTCTATCGGGAGATACGACGGATATCAAGCGATAGAGGACGTGGAGGGCTCTTTTGCGAAGACCACGACGCGGTTTCAATTTTTAAAGATTTTAGTCTGTGGCTAGAAGGTGTCACCACTCACCATGGATACCGAGGCTGATGTGAACTTTCCTGAACCTACCTACAAACCCGAGACAAGTTTAAGGCCATTTATATGTAATTTTGAGTGTGTGTGGATCTCTGAATGTGAGAATCTGAGATAAATTTAAGGATCACTGCTGGCTCCGAATGCAAATTTATGAACGAACGGTCAAGTTATAAGTTGTTGGCTTAATTAGCAGGAAATATGTCTCTTGAGGCACATATCGTAATTTCCTCAAGTTAAATCAAAATTTTGAACGCACACAAATCACTATCACCAGTGCTAAATTCAGTAGAGGGCATGATGCATGGAAAAGGCCATGAAACTTTCAAACTTATAAAGTAGCAGCAAATCTGTACTCCGGCCAATCGCTCGTGTCGTAACGGTCAATGCCTCGACCTTCTCACACTTTCTACCCCTTAGGTATTACCGTCGTAGCACATTAACGACACCATCAAATCCAAAAGCATCGTTGTTACAGCGCACTTGTCCTGGTATTATCGGCTATCTTTTTTTTTTAAATTGGTATTATCGGCTATCGAGTGTACCGGAAGAGTATCGTACTTCTCTAAGTAAGAAAGAAAAGGATTCGTATCGCCGTCCTCAAACAAGAAGGTGCTATTTGACACTTGCATACTATCCCTGCCGCACGCACGCACCTGCTTATTTAAACCGCTCAATGCTCATAGCTGAAGCAAGTGCACGCACGGGCACGGCTAGCTAAATCTAGTAAGCCAGCCAAAAGCAGGGGCACGCACAGCAAAAATGGCAAGCACCAAGCTTCCGTTCATGGCCGTCGCCGTCCTGCTTCTGCAGGCGTCGTGGTGCGCCGTGGCCCGGGCCCGGCACCACCACGACCCGGACCCGTGCGGGGACTTGGTCGGCCTGCAGCGCCACAAGGACCACGGCTGCTCGTCCCCCGCCGTGTCGGCCCAAGGTGGTACGCCCGCGATGATGACGGTGAACTCGTTCGAGAAGGGCGGGGACGGCGGAGGCCCGTCGGAGTGCGACGGGCAGTACCACAGCAACAAGGACTTGATCACGGCGCTGTCCACGAGGTGGTACGCGGGCGGGAGACGGTGCTTCAAGCCGATCCGCATCACGAGCACGCAGACCGGGCGCAGCGTGGTGGCCCGGGTCGTCGACGAGTGCGACTCCCACCGCGGCTGCAAGAACAACATTGTCGACACGTCCCAGGCCGTTTGGGACGCGCTCGGGCTCGACTCCAACATCGGCGTGGTTCCCGTCACCTGGTCCGACGCCTAATCGAATGCGCATGGCCGTCGTCGGTCGGCAAAGCCGGGCAAGGATGTGCGTGCCCCGGGAATTTGTTGCTATGTTTGTGTGTTGTGTTGTTGAGTGTGTCACGCACCCTGGCATCATGCTGTGCGGATGACGACTTAACTCAAGTCTATGATCGACTGTTCTATTCCTGATCGATGGGGACGGAATGGTTTGTTGTCGTTGATGTGTGTCGGTAGCCACTCTCGAGGCAGACTTTCCTGGAGTGGCTGAATAAAATAACTACTTGCAAGCGGTACTTGCAACTTCATCCCGCTCTTGCTGTCAGTAGTCCCAGATTGAAAACGTCGGTTTGTTTAGTCAGTGGCGTGTGTTCGTGACGCATTGTTTGACGGTAGTGAAATATGGCGATCAGAACTGATTGTCCTCACTTGAGAATCTGGGATCTGTTTACGATGCCAGCCATGCATTGCGTAGTCGACACTGGAACCGGCCGATAGGCAAGAACGAGGCGGCAGCCCCTTGAACTCCGACCACAATTGTTAACTCAATAGTTGGTAACAGTAGAGAGAAACACCTCCACTCCGGCATGAGATATATATATTTCATATTTTATTACTAAAATAAAGTAAGATATTCACCTCACTGGATAGTCCCATACAGTTTATGACAAGTACTCACCTCGCTTGGCTGCCGGGATATGAGCTATGCTCTGCGCCGCTAGCCGCCTGCTTTGATTGGGGAGCGAGGGCCATGCACGTCTGCCGATGGTTGTATCATCTCCGGACAGCTCCAGGAATGGCGGTGGCCTCCTCTTTGTGATACGCTCAGTGAAGCGCTTGAGGCGTCTTCCGACCGAGGTTGTCTGAGGTGAAGGAGTACGGTTGACATCGTCTGTTGCAGCCACGATCATCGGCTCATCGCGTTGATCTCCCAGGGTAGTTGGCCCGATGTGGGCGTTGGCCAACGTTGAGCTCATGGGCAGGCAGGAGAGAGTGGCCGCGTCCTCCATACTCAAAATTCAAGTTGTTTTGGATATGATTTAGGATACCAAGGGTGACTAATTAGAGTGTGTTCTCTATGTTTGCCCTTATTAAATATGATCTTTGTTTTTTATGAATTATTAAATAGGATCATAGGTAAACAATGTTTGCTCGATTGGTTAGCACTGTGAAGCCTGGAATGAGGGGTCCCAGGTTCGATCCCTCACTGGTTCACTTTAATTTAATTTTAATTTTAATAGTATTTCATATGGTTATAAAAAAAAGAGGTTATAAAAAATTGTATTTCATATGTACTTAAAAGAAATAAATTATTCATATTTACCGTAAATTGAATGAGTACACGCTTACTATTTGGTACCATAAATGTTATTATTTTATTATATAAATTTGATCAAATTTTCATACGCTCATAAATGTTATTATTATATTTATATATATTTAGTTTTTAGGAGAATTTATATATATTTAGTTAAATTTAAGATGTTTTGATTCTCCAATAAAGTTAAAATGAGACCGAGAGAGTACTATTTTATATGTATAAAAAGTTTAATCATTCACATTTACTGCCATGTAAATTGAACGAGTCCACGCACATTTTTTCTCACCTCGAGCATACCATTTATAGGTTGTCATGGTTGACACGGGATAACATAGCTTAGTTCTGTCCGTAAACTGGACTATTTCATACGTGCTATCCTGACCACTTGTCTTTTTCCCTGCTTGCCATGTTAGCAGTTGTAATTCCCCTAAAAAAAAGCAGTTGTAATAAAGTCCCGTGAGCCTCCAGGAGTGGGTAAATTATATGTCTATTTTAAACTTAAGTTCTAGGGCCCAAATTGAACAACGACCAGAAAAACCATAAACTACTCCTTCCAACAACATGCCTATTTTAAAGTTTTTTCTTATGTGCTCTAACTTATCCTAAAAAAGTTTAGCAACCTAGAGGCAATCCTATCAACTAAGTCTATATCTAATCTAGAAAGATAACTGCCACAAAAGCAAAGAACAAGCGAAAGCAATAAACGTAGTAAGTAATTAAAGTTATAGAGGGTAAACTCTTTGAGAGCTGACACTGTGATATCGATTGCCAAACCACGACCCATAGTCTATGTTGAGCTCCACCGAAGTATGCTCAAGGTCACAGTGTTGAATTTGCCACACAAGGCATCTACTAACCAAAGGCTAGTACTGTGAGTCATGGAGTCTCACCACTGTCACCCGACTCTTTTGGTCATCTTGATGTCGTGTACACTACAAAGATCTCCACACGAGGGGTGTCTTCTCGTCCCCGCACATCGATACGAGGTCGCTCCACACAGAGAACAGAGGGCCGCCATATAGAAGGCCACCACGCCCTCACTGGAAGGTTATGAAGACCTTAAGTGCTCTAGCTCACCAATATAAAGGGCGCAATAGCCCAATCTCTCAAAGCTCTCAAGCTCAAGGTCTAAACCTCACAAGGATGCACTATAATGTCTATTTTAGTTTTGGATGTGATATTGAATAACTTGAGGGGGTGGGATGGAGTGTACGTAGAAACCACAGCTCTATTTTGAAGCAATCTAGCATGCTCAATGGAAGAGAAGTCTACCACTTTTCTATGTTGCACCGGAAAATCCACCGCTGTCAGACATACTTCATAGGATTATATGGTGCAACTACTTGTTGGAACTGATTGCCCCTTTGCATTTGGACTCGATGACCCAAGCTCAAGCAATCATGTCATGCCTAGAGGTTAGAGAACCGGGCCACCCTATGCTCTTTGGCTCGTGCAGCTTGATTTCTAATACAGGGACGAAGCCAAGATTTGACCATAGGGGGGCCATTTTGGTATACCAATGATAACCACATATGATAAAATATGCGCGCGTACATACACATATAAGTATATTGAGTTAGCAATAGTATAAATAATAACCAAATCAATATTTCTTTCGCGATACAAAAGAAATTTAAAAATCTAAAATGATATTGAAAATTATAGCAAAAGGACAAAATTAAATAGCCCTATGTCTCTAATCTCTACCCAACTAATATAATTCATAGAAAAAATCATTGTAATAACTGAAATAAAAGAGAGGGGAAAGATATAAAGCACTAATAATTAATGTCATAACTAGCTAATTGCAACACTAATGTCAATAAAGACTAACACAAAGAAGAGATGATAAATAAATACAAAACTAATTAGTATTTTTTTATTAGCTAATTAAGGGGTTATATAGTGGTGCACTAGGGTGGTTGGGGTGTGTGTGCCCCCCCCCCCCCTTCCCTCTGTCCCTGCTCTAATATACTCATTGATGCCCATGAATCACCCAGAGTTGATCTAAGAAAAGATGACCATAAGGAATATATGGTGAAGTCATTACGTAATTTGCCATCGTACTGACTAGGAGGAAGAAGCCGCGATGCCATGGGACATGGGACATGGGAGGAGAGAAACGAGGCCGTGTGGCTGAGGTCTTTGTTGGGACAGGAGAGAGAGATGGAGATCGAGGGATATATAGTTTTTTTAGTGGAAGATCGAGGGATAGTTGAGGAATAAGTATGTATATATAGGTAGGGTTTGGCTTTGGAAGGTGTTGTGCATGTCTCTCCTAAGTTCGAAACTAATCCAACGGCCAGGAGGCATGGTCCAATATGGACTGAGGTGGGCCGAATCATGGTCCAAATCAAAGTTGTTTCGGCCCTTTACTGTTAATAGTTTTCCATATTTTTCTTTTTAGTCTGAATTAATACATGTTCTACAAGTTATGAAACAAAACCAAAATAACCACACTTTTTTAATAAGCATCCTAATACAATATTTAAGGACATCCTAAAAGTAGATGAGAAGTTCAAATGTTTGTTAGGAATAATTCAAGCTTCTATTTGCAACGTATCAAAAGAAATAATGATAATATCTAATGGTTGTTCAAAAACCCTATAAATTGGCATGAGATCGTATCATAGGTGTATAAACTTGAACTAAAAATTTTAGAAAAAAAATGAAAGTCGGGCAATACATTGTTTAACAAATGGATACATCTCACAAAGTTTCATACAACCTAAGGCAAACTTTGAAGTTTGTTCATATCAAAATATTTTCACGCTCATATACACTTCAAATTTGTAGTAAATCTTACTATATACCTTCATATTAGTAGATGCAAATTTGCATAGGCACTTATTATTTTAATTTTTTTCTATTTGTCAAATAACTAAATAAGGAATTGTGAAGTTGTGGACGGCGAAAATGGTAGGTCGTCTCGCCGCCAAGGCACACACGTAAGCAAGCCGAGAGAAACCGCGTGGAGCAGATCCTGAGCTTTCCCTAGGCTTAGGGAAACACTGGACCAGATGGTCGTGACCTAGGGTGTGTCAGTTAATTTGATCCTGTAATTGACAAGGAGAAAATGTTAATCAGTAATTTAAGGTGGAACATATCGGTGTTGCTCCAGACAGTTCCAAATGTGCGGCTGAACATCCGATGAGATAAGGCTATCAACTAGAGAGTCGATATCTAGCATGTCCATGATGCGAAAAGAATAAAATAAGCATATCGGCAATTATCAGATATTTAAGTGTATAGATCTCAATAGCCGACGATCATGAGAACATGTAAAAGTGTGACGGATAAACATGAAAGCATCTCTATTAATTGAAAATCATACTACCTTTTAACCAAAATAAGTACAAACATATGAATAGCCAATATATTATCAATAAGCGGGCTATCGACTAAAATAGCCGATTCCAATGAAAGAAGGTTCATAACATGCAAACACTCGACCATTAAACATAGATAGATCCATAAATCTATCAAATCTAACCTATTATCTCTAATAGTGGGGTTCAACTTGATCAATGGCAGCCATAATAAAGGTAACAGATTAAACCTTCAAAGAATATGAGTCTATTCACACTTAACGGAATCATGAAAGCATGTTACGATCGTGAAAGCACAGGTGATCGGCTAAATAGTTGATGCGAACATAGCATGCAGCTAGAGGCTATGTTTGACCATAAGCAAGACTTACT